CCCAGGTCTCCTGCATTGCAGGTGATTCTTTACCATTTGAACCGTCAGGGAAGTCCATACACAAATAAATAATACCAATATTTATTAGAGAATTATCAAGCTTACTTTTCATATCCTAACATTAAAAGAAAACAGAAATAGAAACAGCAGAGGATACATCACCAAATTGGGTTTTGACCAACAGCCAGACTCAAATAGTGCTGTAAAGTCCCATGACACAGCACATGTGGACTCCAGTTGGAAAAAGGTCCCAGGCAGCCATCCACTCCCAGAGTGAGACTTCAAAAATTGCAGTTCTGTGTTCCCACTTATAATCCTACAAATTGATATTATCATCAACCTGTAAGCAAATTGCATCTTTGGCTTCATGTTAATGCTGTTTGTTTTGTTCGTAGTGATGCCCATTTGACTTCACACTCCAGGATGTCTGGCTCTAGGTGACTGATCACACCATCGTGGTTATCTGGGTCATTAAGATCCTTTTTGTATGGTTGTGTTTATTCTTGCCACCTCTTCTTCATATTTTCTGCTTCTGTTAGGTACATAGAGTTTCTGTCCTTTATTGTGCCCATCTTTACATGAAATGTTCCCTTGGTATCACTAGTTTTCTTAAAGAGATCTCTAGTCTTTCCCATTCTGTTCAGTTCCGTTCAGTCGCTCGGTCACGTCTGACTCTTCACAACTCCATGGACTGCTTCCCTGTGCCTCATCAACTCCTGGCACTTACTCACACTCATGTCCATACAGTCAGTGATGCCATTCAACCATCTCATCCTCTATTGTCCCCTTCTCCTCCTGCCTTCAGTCTTTCCCAGCATCAGGGTCTTTTCAGATGAGTTGGTTCTTTGCATCAGGTGCCCAAAGTATTGGATTTTCAGCTTCAGCATCAGTCCTTCCAATGAATACTCAGGACTGATTTCCTTTAGGATGGACTAGATGGATCTCCTTGCAGTCCAAGGGACTCTCAAGAGTATTCTCCAACACAACAGTTCAAAAGCATCCATTCTTCGGGCCTCAGCTGTCTTTAGAGTCCAACTCTCACATCCATAAATGACTATTGGAAAAACAATAGCTTTGACTAGATGGACCTTTGTTGGGAAAGTAATGTGTCTGCTTTTTATTATGCTGTCTAGGTCATAGCTCTTCCTCCAAGGAGCAAGCGTCTTTTAATTTCATGGCTACAGTCACCATATGCAGTGATTTTAAAGCCCCCCAAAATAAAGTCTGTCACTGTTTCCACTGTGTCCCCATCAATTTGCCATGAAATGATGGGACCAGATGCCATGATCTTAGTTTTCTGAATGTTGAGTTTTAAGCCAACTTTTTCACTCTTCTCTTTCACTTTCATCAAGAGGCCCTTTTTTCTTCTTCACTTTCTACCATAAGGGTGGTGTCATCTGCATATCTGAATTTATTGGTATTTCTCCCAGCAATCTTGATTCCAGCTTGTGCTTCATCCAGTTGAACATTTCTCATGATGTACTCTGCATATAAGTTAAATAAGCAGGGTGACAATATACGGCCTTGATGTACTTCTTCCCCAATTTGGAACCAGCCAGTTGTTCCATGTCCAGTTCTAACTGTTGCTTCTGGACCTGCATACAGATTTCTCAGGAGACAGGTCAGGTGGTCTAGTATTCCCATCTCTTCCAGAATTTTCCACAGTTTGTTGTGATCCACACAGTCAAATAACCACAATGGTGTGATCACTCACCTAGAACCAGACATCCAGGAATCTGAAGTCAAATTGGCCTTAGGAAGCATCATTACAAACAAAGCTAGTGGAAGTGATGGGATTCCAGCTGAGCTATTTCAAATCCTAAAAGATGATGCTGTCAAAGCGCTACACTCAATATACCAGCAAATTTGGAAAACTCAGCAGTGGCCACAGGACTGGAAGAGGTCAGTTTTTATTCCAATCCCAAAGAAAGGCAATGCCAAAGACAAACTACTGCATAATTGCACTCATCTTACACACTAGTAAAGTAATGCTCAAAATTCTCCAGGCCAGGCTTCAGAAATATAAGAACTGTGAACTTCCTGATGTTCAAGCTGGTTTTAGAAAAAGCAGACAAACCAGAGATCAGATTGCCAACATCTGCTGGATCATCGAAAAAGCAAGAGAGTTCCAGAAAAACATCTATTTCTGCTTTATTGACTATGCCAAAGCCTGTGGCTGTGTGGATCACAATAAACTGTGGAAAATTCTTCAAGAGATGGGAATACCAGACCTCCTCACCTGCCTCTTGAGAAACCTGTATGCAGGTCAGGAAGCAACAGTTAGAACCGGACATGGAACAGCAGACTGGTTCCAAATAGGAAAAGGAGTCCGTCAAGGCTGTATATTGTCACCCTGCTTATTTAACTTCTATGCAGAGTACATCATGAGAAACGTTGGGCTGGAAGAAGCACAAGCTGGAATCAAGATTGCTGGGAGAAATATGAATAACCTCAGATATGCAGATGACATCACCCTTATGACAGAAAGTGAAGAGGAACTAAAAAGCCTCTTGATGAAAGTGAAAGAGGAGAGTGAAGAAGTTGGCTTGAAGCTCAACATTCAGAAAACTAAGATTATGGCATCTGGTCCCATCATTTCATGGCAAATAGATGGGGAAACAGTGGAAATAGTGGTTGACTTTATTTTGGGGGCTCCAAAAATCACTGCAGATGATGACTGTAGCCATGAAATTAAAAGATGCTTACTCCTTGGAAAGAAAGTTATGACTGACCTATGACCAACCAGCATAATAAAAAGCAGAGACATTACTTTGTCAGCAAAGGTCCATCTAGTCAAGGCTATGGCTTTTCCAGTGGTCATGTATGGATGTGAGAGTTGGATGGTGAAGAAAGCCGAGCGCTGAAGAAATGATGCTTTTGAACTGTGATGTTGGAGAAGACTCTTGAGAGTCCCTTGGACTGCAAGGAGATCCAACCAGTCCATCCTAAAGGAGATCAGTCCTGGGTGTTCACTGGAAGGACTGATGCTGAAGCTGAAACTCCAATACTTCGGCCACCTGATGCGAAGAGCTGACTGATTGGAAAAGACCCTGATGCTGGGAGGGATTGAGGGCAGGAGGAGAAAGGGATGATAGAGGATGAGATGGTTAGATGGCATCACCGACTCATTGGACATGGGTTTGGGTGAACTCCAGGAGTTGGTGATGGACAGGAAGGCCTGGTGTGCTGCGGTTCATGGGGTCGCAAAGAGTCAGACACGACTGAGCGACTGAACTGAACTGAAACAGTCAAAGGCTTAAGCATAGTCAATAAAGCAGTAGTAGATGTTTTTCTGTAACTCTTGCTTTTTCGATGATCCAGCGAATATTGACAATTTGATCTCTGATTCCTCTTCCTTTTCTAAATCCAGTTTGAACATCTGGAAGTTCACGATTCACGTAATGTTGAAGCATGGCTTGGAGAATTTTGAGCATTGCTTTGCTGGTGTATGAGATGAGTGCAATTGTGTGGTAGTTTGAGCATTCTTTGCCATTGCCTTTCTTTGGGATTGGAGTGAAAACAGACCTTTTCCATTCCTATGGCCACTGCTGAATTTTCCATATTTGCTGACATATTGACACTTTGACAGCATCATCTTAGGATTTGACATAGCTCAAGTGGAATTCCATCCCCTCCACTAGCTTTGTTCATAGTGATTCTTCCTAAGGCCCACTTGACTTCGCATTCCAGGATGTCTGGCTCTAGGTGAGTGATCACACCATCATGATTATCTGTGTCATTAAGATCTTTTTTGTATAGTTCTTTTGTATATTCTGGGCACCTCTTTAATGTCTTCTGCTTCTGTTAGGTCCATACCATTTCTGTCCCCTTGTGCTGTTTTCCCCTGTTTCTTTGCATTGTTCACTTAGGAAGCCTTTCTTACCTCTTGCTCTCCTTTGGAGCTCTGCATTCAGATGGATATATGCCTCCTTTTCTCCTTCGCCTTGTTTTGTCATGTAAAACTTGGAATGTTGTTAAGCCTGAAGCTTGGTTGGCCAGCCCGGGCTCAGCAGTGTGAAGATTCTTCCGCTACTTTATCTGTGGCGCTGCAAGGCTTGCGCTCAGCAGCAGCCACTCACAGTCAGGGAAGCCTCCAGGCATGTTAGAAGCAAAGTCAGAGACCGCTCTGCTTTGTCTCTGAAGCCCGAACAAGACTGTGTTTAATTTCCCTAACAATTTCTGTTCCCATGAGGTTGTCCTGACAGAGTCCCCAGGGGAAGTATGAAAGGCCCCAAGTCAGCCCCTGTCCCCCTGGCTGACTGGCCGTGAGAGTCCTGTCCACACACACTTCACTCTCTCGGCAAGACCCGTGATGGTCTGTGTAGCAGATACAGCTCTTCTCCATCCTCCTCTGAAGCTCCCAGTTACGCTGGGATGATGGGTCTCACTTCTGGGCAGAATACATGGGCTTCCTTCCCCTCCCGCCCTGCTGCGGTGGTCAGTGGCATTCCAGACTTCGGGAGAGCAGCTAACAGCCAACAGCCAGCCGAGTCCCCTCCAACTGCCGGCCCCACCTCGGTTCGGCGGACTCCTCGTGTGTGCCAGCAGGAAACCTGTGGGACGGCAGGTTCTTTGCTCACCGCAGCATGAAGTAATCTAATCCCCCGTGAACACATCCTGTAACAACCCCTGGTTCCTGCTTCAGACAGGAGAATTTCTGCTTCTCTTCCTTCAATGCAGCAGCCTGAGCTGCCCACGCAGAAAGGAGAGGTGACAGTCACAGCAGTGCCGAAATAAAATCTGCCCAGAATGAGCGCTGTGCATTAACAGCTGGAAATATTCCCAAGAATTATCTCTGGATGGTAGGATTATGGGCACATCTTATCTCTGGTGTTTATACTTTTCCATATTTTTCCAGTTTTCCTCAATGTATATGCGAGGCTTTTACAATTAGAAAATAATATTAACATTTTTTTTAAAAGAAATTTGTTGCATTGAAGTCGGCAAAACACGCTATGACCAACAGGCATTCCAGAAAGCGGCCCCTCACGGCCGCTACCATGGCCTGCTTGCGCGCGCCCTGCCCCGGCTCCCACCTTGCCCTGTGTGCCCACCAAGGTCATCTGCGGCTTCCGTGCGACCGTGGGGGTCTCGTCACTCCAACTGTATGTCACATGTTTGTCTCTGTCCCTGAACTAGACTAGAGTCTCCTTGAGGGAGAGCCAAAATCATGTTGAGAGAAAGAGTCGGCAGGGCTGTGCTCCGCCCAAGGCTTGAGGGGAGAATTTGTCCCAGCCTCCCTCCAGTTTCTGGTAGCACCCCGCATCCCTTGGCTTGAAGCCACAGGCCTGCCCACCCCCGCCTCTGCCTACACATTGCCTTCTCCCCTCTGATAAGGATACAGGTGATTGTTTTTAGGACTCACTCAGATAATGCAGGAGAAGCTCCTCCCCTCAAGATCCTCATCCTAAGGACTCCTCTGGTAGTGCAGTGGGTAGGAATCCGCCTGCCATCACAGGGGACACAGGCAGGTTCAGTCCTGGCCCAGGAAGGTTTCCCATGCCACCAAGCAGCTCAGCCCACGAACCACAGCTGCAGTGGGTAGGAATCCGCCTGCCATCACAGGGGACACAGGCAGGTTCAGTCCTGGCCCAGGAAGGTTTCCCATGCCACCGAGCAGCTCAGCCCACGAACCACAGCTGCAGTGGGTAGGAATCCGCCTGCCATCACAGGGGACACAGGCAGGTTCAGTCCTGGCCCAGGAAGGTTTCCCATGCCACCGAGCAGCTCAGCCCACGAACCACAGCTGCAGTGGGTAGGAATCCGCCTGCCATCACAGGGGACACAGGCAGGTTCAGTCCTGGCCCAGGAAGGTTTCCCATGCCACCGAGCAGCTCAGCCCACGAACCACAGCTGCAGTGGGTAGGAATCCGTCTGCCATCACAGGGGACACAGGCAGGTTCAGTCCTGGTCCAGGAAGGTTTCCCATGCCACCGAGCAGCTCAGCCCACGAACCACAGCTGGTGAGCCTGAGCGCTACGGACACCGAAGCCTGCCTGCCTAGAGCCCGTGCGCAGCAGCCAGAGAAGCCGCAGAGTGAGACGCCCACGCCCTGCCGGGAACAGCAGCCCCTGCTCGTGCAACTAGAGAAAGCCCACGAGCAGCGAAAAAGGCCCAGCACAGCCAAAAATAAAAGACCCATACGTAACCACACCTTCTGCCATAAGCATCAGGACTTAGACATGCATTTGGCCAGGTAGTTCCTGGCTTCAATCCCTGGTCAGGGAACTGAGATCCCGCAAGCCTGCATGGCTTATGGCAAAAAAAAAACAAAACACACAAAATAAAACCCAACTAACTGCATATTTGGTGGGGCTACCATTCAGCCACTACGCCTAGCATAAGATGAAATTGGCATCCCATCATATTTGTTAAATGGATCAGTAAATTATAAATAAGTTAATGACTCCTCCAGGCTCAACCCCTTCTATAAACTCTGACTTATTCTTCCACAGGCTTGACTAGGCACGTCTTCTCTACTCCAAACTCACTATGTCCGGTACTCCCATCACATGCTAGGGGAGAAAAGTGTATTTGGAATCTATGGTTCTTGACTGGCTAACCCATTTTGGCCACAATTCCCTTTTGGAAGAGGAAATGTCTTGCTTCCTTTGGTCCGGTCAGTTGTTTAAAAAGTCAGCAGCGTGTTAAGCAAATCTACATGGGGTCTGCATTCTTTTCTCTAAAGGTGATGAGAGGATTCAACTCCATTGGCGATACTCCTTTTCTTCTTCAGTCAAGTTGGCAGGAGGTCTGAGCTCAGAGTGAATCTCACCAGTGGAAGGCTGGAGGTCCACACACTGCCTAACACAGAAACAACGCTGTTATTATTCATCACATTAAAAAATCAAAGTCATTGCGTAGAGAGGTCGGCTACAGAAACCAGCATGCATGCACGCTAAGTCGCTTCAGTCTTGTCTGACTCTCTGCAACCCTATGGACTGTAGCCCGCCAGGCTCCCCTGTCCATGGCATTCTCCAGGCAAGAACACTGGAGTGGGTAGCCATGCCCTCCTCCAGGGGATCTTCTCCACCCAGGGATGGAACCCGCATCTCTTACGTCTCCTGCATTGGCAAGCACATTTTTACCATTAGCGCCACTTGGGAAGCCAGGTCTCCTGCACTGCAGGGAGATTCTTTACCAACTGAGCTATAAGGGAAGTTCCCTAGAAACCAATATAAGGACAATCAAAAGAATTTTGAGAAAGAATGTATCTCTTCGTTAACAATCAGTTCAATCACTCAGTTGCGTCCGACTCTTTGCAACCCCATGGACTGCAGCATGCCAGGCTTCCCTATCCATCACCAATTCCCAGAGCCTACTCAAACTCATGTCCACTGAGTCAGTGATGCCATCCAACCATCTCATCCTCTGTCATCCCCTTCTTCTCCTGCCTTTAGTCTTTCCCAGCATCAGGGTCTTTTCCAATGAGTCAGCTCTTCACATCAGATGGCCAAAGTATTGGAGTTTCAGCTTCAGCATCAGTCCTTCCAATGAATATTCAGGACTGATTTCCTTTAGGATGGACTGGTTGGATCTCATTACAGTCCAAGGGACTCTCAAGAATCTTCTCCAACACCACAGTTTAAAAGCATCAATTCTCCTGTGCTCACCTTTCTTTATAATCTGACTCTCACATCCATCCATAACTACTGGAAAAACAAAAGCTTTGACTAGACAGACCTTTGTTGGCAAAGTAATGTCTCTGGTATTTAATATGCTGTCTAGGCTGGTCATAGCTTTTCTTCCAAGGAGTAAGCATCTTTTAATTAAAACCATTCTTCTTCTCCTAGGTGGAGGAATCAGATAACCCAGGACAGAGATACTTTTACTTCTTCAGGGACCTTGGATTCCCTCCAGCATCATCCAAGATCTACATTTCTTCCCCCTTTTTTTTTAAAATGTGGCTGCACTCAGGTCTTAGTTACAGTATGCAGGATCTAGTTCCTTGACCAAAGATCAAACCCAGTCCCCCTGCATTGGGAGTGCAGAGTCTTAGCCACTGGACCACCAGGGAAGCCCTTAAGATCTGCATTTCCAGTCAAGCTGATCCTCTGTACCATGTTAGTGCTATAGACCCAAACAACAGCTTGGAGGTAAGACATATCTCTCCTTGTATCAAATCTCAAGCTTCATATCAGTGTGAATTCTCATCATCTTTGATACATAGTATGGGGTCGGGAAGAGTCAGACATGACTGAGCGACTTCACTTTCACTTTTCACTTTTATGCACGGGAGAAGGAAATGGCAACCCACTCCAGTGTTCTTGCCTGGAGAATCCCAGGGATGGGGTCGCACAGAGATGGACACGACTGAAGTGACTTAGCAGCAGCAGTAGCAAGGCCATAAATGGCTTCCCAGGTGGCGCTAGTGATAAAGAACCCGCCTGCCGATGCAGGAGCTGCAGAAGAAGAGGGTTCAGTCGCTGGGTCGGGAAGACCCCCTGGAGAAGGGCATGACAACCCACCCCAGTGTTCTTGCCTGGAGAGTTCCACAGACAGAGGAGCCTGGTGGGCTACAGTCCACGGGGTCGCAGAGGGTCCAACACAGCTGAGTGACACAGCACACGCAAGGCTGTCAACAACGAAGAAACGCTTTTGCAAGGACACAGGGTTAGGAGCCTGCTCCTGCCCTGTATCTTCCTGTTGAGGACAAAAATACGGAATTTCGAGTGCTGACATTTGACAATCCGACAAGCATCCTCCTTGTGCAGGCAGTCATGACATAAAGACACATTTGCTGTGACATGAGTCTTCCCTGAGGAGCCCTCGGTGTTTAGAGATCAAAGCGGAGGTCAGGGGAGCCGGGACCGCTGAGAAGAATACGCAAGCACAATGACCTTTCAGCAACGAGGCAGCCGGAAAGAGCTGCAGTTCCCCACGTGCGATCTGATGGCCTGTGCTGAGATGGAGCAGCCCGGGGGCAGTGGTTCTCCCAGCGACTGTGGCTGTCTCTGCTGACCCCAGGCTGGCCCTGGATCCTACCCTCTACTGCGAGGATTTGCGACCAAAGCAGCCACAGCATCAAATGCAAGTGTGGCACACATTCCCCTGAGTCACTTGCATGTCCATTTCATTATCTTAGTTCTGCCTTCCTGCACAGACTCCCTCTTTAAGAAGCTGTTGCAGCTCCTTTTCGCTTTCCAGCTTATTGCTTCACCCAACGTAGAAGCAAAGCCTTGAGCTGCCAAGGGAAGGGACAGCAATCTCCAGTAATCCATTGCGTCAAAACTACCAGTCAATTAGCCTGGCAGCCTGTCATCTGGCTTTTTAAAAACTAAAATACATATTCTTTGGCATATACATAGGAAAAAACTGTCAGAAGGTACACCCAAATGGGAACAGTGGTGCTCTGATGAGGGTGCAGAGAAGAAAAAAGAAAAGACTTTCACAACATTCTTCTTTTACTTGAGTTTTTTTTTTGCAGTCATTCTACATTACTTTTGTAATCAGAAGAAATTAATAAAGATTGTTTTGTTTAAAAAATTCAAAGAATTGAGCAAGTTCATTTTTGCTCTCTGCTCGGCCCAGGGAAAATGAGGAGATCATCCTGAAATGGCGAAGTGGGAGGAGACGCACGTGTTTGAGGATGTGCGTGCCCTTGCACTGCTCAGAATGACAATGTATGCTTGCAGAGGAGGAGCTGGGGGAAACGGAGGCCCTGAGGGCTTCGGCCTCCCCTCCTTGAGAGCCTGAAGTGTGAATGCTTCATCTGCAAGCCGCTGGCGGTGCTGAAGCAGCAGCCAGCACCGCCCCTCCCGCTCACAGCCGAGCAGCAGGGGCCTTGCGCCCCCAGGGAGGAGGTTCCCTTGGGTACACACCAGGCCCTTCGTGGAGAAGGCAGTGAGCTGTGCCCGACTGCTGGCGCAGGGAGGGCCTCCCTCCCGGCTCAGCGGTAAAGGCGCGGCCTGCAATGCAGGAAACCCAAGTTCCATCCCGGAGTTGGGAAGATCCCCCGGAGAAGGGAATGGCAGCCCACTCCAGTGTCCTTGCCTGGAGAATCCCCACGCACAGAGGCGCTCGCTGGGCTACAGTCCATGGGGTCGCAAAGTACAACAGGACTGAGTGACTAACACTTTCACTTTCAGGTTTATTAGTAAACCTG